CACCACTCCGTATATATTTATTTTATTTCTTACCAGTTTCTGTTTAATTTCTATTGATTACATTATTTATTTGATTAATTTTGTATGGTTTTAGTTATTTTTCTCATTTTCATTATTTTTTATATCTATTTTTTTCTAAGGTAAGAATAATCTTTAAAAAAGAAAAAGAAATGGAGGTTGAAAGTAATTCAAAAAATTTAAATAAAAATTTCAAAAAAATTAAAAAACAAAAATTCATCAAAAATAATCCCAACTTTCATTTTGTTGCCTAAAACGGGCATTTCCGTTAACCCTCCGTTAGAAACTCAACGGCGACCCAAAATTGGCAAATTTCAATAAAGCTGGGATTATTATGCATCACAGTGAGAGGTGGGATTATTTTTGAAAGACCAGGTAAAGTTGGAATTATTTTGGGTAATTTTTCCTAAAAATTATATCAAAATTATAATTATTTTTACGAGAATTTTACATAACTTCTTGAGTTTGTTTCTCGATTACACTCCATAAAACATTGTCATAGTACAAAACTTGCACTTTTAGGCTCCGAAAGCCCGAAGTTCTCCAAATATGTATTTTTTTTAGATAATAAAAAGGCTAGGGTATTTACTTCTCAGGTTTCTCTATGCCAATGGTGGGTAGCTTGTGGATGAAAGAGTACTTTTGGAGAGCCCAAAAGGAATGGAAGTAGGAAGCTGCTATTTAAGTACTACTACTTTCACAAGTCACAAATACCCAAAAAAAAAAAAAAGAAAAAAGTTGGTGAGCAATATGCCATACTTTATTAGCTAGTCTCTTTTATTCTAATTTGAACTTTTTTTAAAAAAAAACATTTAAAGTTCTTATTTTTTTAATTTTCAACAAAGTTAAAGTTTAAGAAACACCTAAATAAAATTTCTTAAAATGACAATAAAAGTTTGTAGTTGAAATAAACAGAGTAAACATATGTTTTGGTATAAAATATCGTAATCGAGTCCAAAACACTAAAAGAATTATACTCCCTCCGTTTGGAAAAACCCTTCTCGTTTGATTTGGGGGTAAAAATAAGGAAGTGTTAAATTATAGTTGATTTCCAATTTTGCCACTGATGTGATGGGTAAAAGTAAGATGTGATGGATAGATTATTAGAGAAAAAGTATGATGTGATAGGTAGGGTATGAAAAAGTAAGGGTAAAAGTGGTTTTTTAATAGAAAGAGGAAGTGTTTTGTTGGAAGTGGAAAAAATGAAAGAGGAAGTGTTTTTGAGAACGGAGGGAGTAATTACTAGCCACCGATTTAATTACATTATTACACTCAACGTCTAAACCCATATTATTAGTCAAAAGACTCTGGTACAAAAATTCAAAAAGCATGCCTAATTCCCAACTGTGCCAATATAATATAGACTAGAACATAAATTAAACCTCTAATTGTAAATTGTAATACAATGTCTTAAAGTAAAAAAGACTTCCTCGTAAAATAAACCATGACAGCTGCGCACCTGCACTACATATAATTCTAAATAATCCATCCGTCCCCAATTTGATTACAAATTGCGGGTTATGGAGTAAAATTTTCTACTTTTTGAAATTATTTTATTTACAAATTGGTATATTAATAAGATATAAAAATTACATATTAAAAAACTACATCAAAAGTTCTACAAAACAAGAGGTAACAAGAATATTTTATTTTATCAAATACTTAATGAAATTGCGTAAACAAACAAAAATTATCGAGAGGAGAAAAAAAAATTGTAACCTATTTAGGGACAGAGGGAGTAAAAAAATAGGAGCAGTATTGTCTCCATCCCCCACTATTATTTACTCCCTCCGTTTCAATAATTTTTTTCTTTTTTACTCTTAGCCAAAATAAAAAAAAGTATATTTATGATTGACTTTCTTATTTTACTCCGATAGGTAGGGTATTAAAAAATAGGGGTAAAAATTATTTTTTAATAGAAAGTGGAAGTTTTTTGATAAAATGGAAAAATCTTCTGTTTTACTATTAAGTTTTTTGATAACATTTGTTAATCTCCACAATTTTATTTTTGTTTGATAAAATAAAATATGTTTGTCAAACCTTGTTTTATAAAATTTTTGATGTATTTTAAAATATCTAATTTGTAAGAAGTAATTTTTTTATTTCTATCCTAATTAATAAATAAAATATTTTTAAAAAAATATTTAGACTTTGTTCGGAAAAAAATGATTTGAAGAGGGAGAAATAATAGAAGGGACATTTTTTCGGAAAAAATAAATAAAGGACACATTTTAAAACTTTTTAAAATGAAAGAAGGGAACAAAGATACATTTTGACACGGTTCAAAATTAAAAAGGGTAGTAATTAATACAAAATGGTTTGTTGCTAGCTGGTAACCATGTTCTAATTTAAGACTTTAGGCTAAATACTCCATTGATTACGCTTTCCGAGAATGCTAATTTTACCTAAACCTGCTTAAAAGTTTACTTCCTCTTTTCAAATTTGATGCTCGTAAATTTTAAATATCAATTAAATTAAATTTTAATATAATTCGACAATAATTAATTTTATTAAATAATGAAAATTATATTTCTATATATAGAAAATATATGGAGAATCCTAACCAAAGTAGAATAAGAAATTATATATGGTAACAATTGAAAAAGGAAAGTAAATGATACTACGGAGTAATAATCTATTTCCTAATATCTCTGCAAGTGCTGATCATTAATAACAAGAAGCAGTTTGGAGCACGTACAAGTAATGGAATGGAGTCAGTGGGGGCGATTTTATGAGGATAGTCACTAGAAGTAGAGAGTTAGATTTTCCTTACATGACGAATGAGTTTGATAATACGTTTGCTGATTTTTTTCTAGAGAGTGCGTTGACAATTAGAGTGAGGAAAATGACTTTCTTTTGTCTCCTTGTAAGCTGTTCTCGTTCTTCTACATTTTTCCATGCTCTTGAGCTCTAGGAAAAATATAGACAAATGTAACTTTCTTGTTCTTTAATCGCGCACACAAATTAGGTTTTTTTAGAAAGAGGAGGGGCGGGTTAGGATTGTTTTATAGAAAGTACTCTACATTATTTTTATAAACTTACAAATAAGTTAGAGAAATAAAAAATTC